TCCTCCCGGCTGCGGCAGCGCCTTAAAGCGACAGCACCGGGAGGGCGCCCAGTGCTGCTAGTGCCGCCGCCGCCGCCTTTCCCTCGTCAGCCTCTTCTCCCCGCCTTTCCCTCGTCCACGCCGCCCGCCTCGTCTCACAGCCTCCCTTCAGCCAGAAGGGCTCCCCCCTCGCCAGGGAGGCTCTGGGACTGCTCGGCTTCTTCCACGCCGCCGTCGTCTCAGCAATTATCCCACACACACACACACACATACACACGCGCGCGCCAGCTGCTTGAGGGCGGGTGGCCGTAAATCGGCCGGGACTTGGCGGGGCGTCACCCCCACCCGAAGCCGCGCAGAGCCGCCTTTCGTCTTTGCCCCTGCCCTGCGCCGAGACGGGAAGGGGCTCTCCTCCCCCCCCCCACCTCACAGTGAAAGCTGCCCCACAGATTCGGACTTAGACAGACTTGCCTTCGAAGAAGGGGGAAGGGTGCCCCAAAGGGGCGGCGGAGAGAGAGAGAGACCGGTCCTCCCTCCTGCTCTCCACATGCACGGCCTCATCGGCGCCTTCACGGTGGATTGGGCCCACAGCGCTGCCTCCCCAGGCTCACTGTGGGCTGCAAAGCTCCTGCGGGCTCGCTGTTCCTACCGGTGCAATACAGAGGATTACCGGTTATTAAAGAGGCACCTCGCCCTTTTTATTCCCGCCGCCTTGTTCTCCCTCTCAGCGAGGTGGTGGAGACGATTAGCCGCCGCCCCCACGGTCCCATCCCCAGCACTGGCCCACAAGAGTCAGGGAAATATGAAAGGTAGTCAGTTCCTCCTGGATGCAAAGCCGGGAGGGGCACGCAAGGAGAGTGGCCTTCCAGATGTTTTGAACTACAACTCCCACGAGCCCTTGCTTGGTGAAGCTGATGGGAGTTGAGGTCTTGGAGGGCCAGAAACTCGTATGTCCCATCGCTTAGCCAGTTTCAGAGTGAGAAACTGTAAAGGTAATTGCACACTAGCATTTATACAGAAGGTTGCTGAATGCTTGAAGTGTTTTGCATAATTAAAGATAACTCTCACAAAACTTTATTTATTTTATTTATTTATTGTATTTATACCTCGCCTATCATTTTGACCACTTTAGGCAGCTTTGTGAGGCAAGCCAATGTTATGCTAAAATTAACAATGCATAGCTTGGATCCTCAATACAGTAGTTTGCATAAATTCATCTGGTAAATTATGGTGCAGTTCTATGCACTGAGAAGTAAGTCCTGTTGAGTTCAACAGGGCTTAAAGTAAGTTCTAAACCATTGCAGCTTCCATAACCTAGGTGAGCTTTCAAACCAGTGACTTCTCCAGGAACATCTTAACCACTGGTGTTGTACCTATGCTTGGGTCAATGCCATTTCATTGGAGAAATAAGCTCCTGCTCACTGCTTTGGTTTACTCAGGTGGAGCGGAAAAGAAATTGCTGTTCCTTTTTTCCTTGCACTAAATAAGATGAGAGTAAGGGTCATTTACTTTTTTTAAAAAAGGAAAGTTAATCACTTGATGACCTTCAATACCTAACTGGTATTGAAGGCTTTGCCATATTGCTTTGCACTGAAGAAGAAAACACAGATGGATATTGTCGGATTTAAAAATGACAAGAGTATCTTATCTAGCAAAATGGAACAGGAACAAATTCTTACGACAATTTATCTGCCGCAGGAACTGTGTCTTGGTGGACTCCAGTGTTTTTCACACCTTATAACAACGGGGTAGAAAACTTTAGCTTTTCAGATGTTCTCCCTCACCTGTAATCCCTTACCATTGACCATGCTGCCCAGGGCTTCTAGCATTTGAAGTCATTTAAAACATGTGGACAGTCAGTGGCTGCCCGTCCCTGTTTACGATTAAGGTGTTCTTCAGGGCTGCTGAGAGTTTCTGGCACCATTTTGAGAGCACCATTTTGTGGTACTTCCCATGTTCCTGGAGGATGTGTGTGTTTCTGGAGAGGAAAACCTATTACCTTCTCATGACCATTTTTTTTCCAGTTTTCACTACTGAGTAATGATCTGCTTGAAACCATGGAAACCTGCTGCCCAGTTTTGTTTCCCCCTTTCTGATTACGAGAAAGCTGTGGAAATCGCATGCCAGTGTTCAAAAGTGACAAGGGACTTTGGGGTGGACTGTAAACTGAAAATTAATCCAGACAAGAGTAAACAATGGAAGGACAGGAACTACAGCCAAACCAGAAAGTGGTATTCAAATGATTTTGGAAGGAGGGGGTCCTAATTTTCTTTTGGATAGACCAGGGACTACTCAGATTGCACTGATAAGCCAATGGCAGCTTTTCCTCAAGGTCTTGCCTCAGCTGCCCTATTCAATTCCAGCCAAGATGGCTGTAACACAATTTCTGTTGCTCTTAAGATCAGAGAACTTCCACTTGTACACAATGTGACAGTAAGGCTTCTGACAGGAACCTGTTTTGTCTGTGTTATGCCAATGTTACATAACTGCCCTGGCTTCAAGTTTGTTCCAGAGCCCAATTCAAGAGGCTGCATCTTGCCTTTTTATATTCTAAATTGCTAAGGACACTTTAGGGCTGTTCCCCACCCTTCCAGACTCAGCAATGTCATGATGTAAGAAGGAGCTCTTTAATTGCTAACTCCTCTGTTTAAACCCCAGTCTTTTTAAGCTGGACAACCTGTTATCTCTGTCAAATCACAGAGTGCCCAGTTAAATATCCTTACCTCTCAGAAGCCAAGGCCCCTCTCTTCTAACCATGAGAAGTAACTTCACAAGAACCTTGGGAAATAACTGCCAGTGGATGACAGTTAGTGCTATTATGATGTCATAGTTTGGTTAGTAGACAAGCATACTGTTAAAAAAAAGTACAGTAGTTGAAGAAGCTGTGCAGGATTATCCTTGATGTGAATATTTCCCTTCTGTATCTTCAGTGGTGCTATCAGTCCGTTCTCCACAGAGAGAGATCTTCTGTCCCTGAAAAACCATTCTTGATAGCATAGTATTGTATGCTGTAATGTTTTTTTACTACGTATTATTTTACTATTGTAATAGGCATTGTTGTGCTTCTAAAGACTTAATAAACTGTTTTTGTTTAAATAGCTTATTTCTTCCGTCTTCTCTATTTGCAATCCTAATTATTGAAGGCTAACACTATTGGTAAGGGCAGAAGTGACAAATATAGAAGGAGTTAGAGTCTATGCCAGATATTAAGAAGTTTTGATAGGGGGATATTCAGGCTCATAATGCCCTTGAGACATGAGTAACTCAGGAGATGGCATCATTACTGAGGATTTGAGTGCCCATTTTCTTCCCCTTTAATCATTTTAATAGGAAAGCATTTAGGACTGTCAGGTAAAGAGGAGGAAGTCAGTTTGTTAGGGTAGGTGTCACACATCACATTTATACAAATGTGGGACAGCATAGCTGAAGTTGTTTCCAATGATGCTCAGAAAGGATTCCTTGCCTGTCTTTCTTGTGCCATTTCAGCCATGATGAGGATCCATAGAGCAACACTTGAAGAACTGAACTGGGGTGGGACTCCTCCAGCGAAAGGGAGCAGATAGCAAGAATTCAAGTTCAAACCTTCCAGAACCCAGGAAGCCTCCCAGGGCATAATAGACATGGTTTTGCCAGTGGTCAGAGCATAAACTACAACCCTAAAGAGTGAAGCAGTTCTGCTCCATGACTAAAGGCTCCCCACCAGAGTTACAGGCTAAGCAGAGCTATAGCTGGAAGCTTTGGAGGCCAGCGCCTTTGTGTGGCCAGCAGCTGTAAGATAACACAGAGGGCAGTCTGGATGATTTGCTTGTGGGGTCTGAGAGTCAGGGGTCAATTAAGGCACCTTCTTTCCATACCATGGTCCTGTGATTGCAGTAGGACTCACATATCTGGGGGGGATTTCAGTTCCACAATCTGCTATGGATGCCTGAAACCATTTATAGGAGGGAACCTTTATATACAACATGCAAGGGGGCAGGGCTAAGGCCACAAGGGGGGGGGCCTTCTATGTTGTATAGAGGACTGGGGGGACCATGGATATTGATCCTGTGGATATGGAAGTCCTACTGTATCATGAATACTAAAAAACCAAAACCAAAATTAAAAATAAAGTCCTTGTACCTGTCAGCTGAAATGTTTACACCTAAAAAACCAAAACCAAAATTAAAAATAAACAATTTTGTCCTTTTACCTGTCAGCTGAAATGTTTACACTGGGAGTAGTATAAAGCAGACATGTGTGCTGGTAAGAACAGAGATGCACCAAGAGTTCAGTAGTGATTAGGACATGTGGGGCATTGTGCAATCCAGGCTCAAGTCTTCCACAGCCAGCCCACTCCTGCAAGCCTTCTTACCAGATGTGGAGAATGTGGAGTCCTACCTGTGTTATTGTGGCAATGCTTGCCTGCTTTCCTGCTTGTGAATAATAATTTTTGTCAGTGGCTTTAACTGCCCTGGTGCTATCTACCTGTGTTGCACCATCTGCTCCATCAACCAGAATCGGTACTGGCCACCTCTGAGCAGGTGCAGCTGGAAGTTTAAGAAAGGCTGTTTTCATAAGATAAAATGGTAGAGATGGAATGCCAAAGAAGTCTTTCTGAAATACAGACATTCCTCATGAGAGAGTCATACTTTTAGATAGCAATGGGCTCATCAACCTGAGGAATGACTCAGAAAAAGTGAAGGATAAGAAAATGTAACTCTCAAAAAGAGTAATTTTAGCAATGAAGTGCTTCTGAGACAACACAGATTGCATTCAGCTTTTGGAAAGCTTTTAAAAAGTCATTAGCTTCATTTGCCAGAGGGGTCTTTCATAAAATTCCATGGTTCAGTTCTTAATGGAAGAATAATTCCGCACATGATCCCCATGCGATGCAGCTTTTATTGTTGCAAATTAGTCATCGTCAGTAAAGCCAAAACATGCAAGGAATAATTTTGAAAATACTCCAGAGATCTGTTCCAAAACACTTTCAAATTCCTGAGCTATTTGTGTCATAAATCCCCATCTGGACTTTGGATGCCACATAATGTATAATTTTTCAAAACATTAATATCATTGTAGGCCAGTCAGATTTTTGACAGCTTACATTTCAGCTGAAATATGTAGTGTTGTGTCTTGTGTTATTAGTACTGTATAGTGCAATTAAGTGCAAACTGCTTACCTCTGTGAGTTCCAGAATGACGTTTCCCCCCACTGGATAGATTGGGAAACAAGATGGGACTAAGTAGAGGTCCTGCTCTGTTCCACCTTTCCTTTCGTAGTAAAGCTGTGGATGGCTGTTGTTTGCATTCCATAGTTTCCTGAGCCAGCAATAAGGACATTAGAATACAGCACTCTCAAATGCCTCGTTCCCTTGTGATAGGAGGGCAGTGGAAACTTACAATGCTGTATTTGAGCCAGTGTGGTTAGATGGTTGGCCTGAGACTTGGGAGGTAATAGTTCCAGTTCCCCTTGAGTAATAAAACTCACTGGATGATCTTGGACTAGTCCTTCTCTCTCTGACTGACTTGCTTCACGAGATTGTGGCGAGGGGAAAACTGGGGGAGAGGAAAGCCATGGATGCCATCTTGGGCTCATTAAGATAAACACAGGATATAAATTTAACAAATACAAAAATGAAATAAATAAGGTTGAGCACAAAGAGCAGGCAAACACTCAAGAGAAACAAGGTCAGCTT